AAGTAGATCACCAGACCTTTCTTCCTGGTCCATCTTACTGTGGCAGGTCCACGGAAACCTGCCCAGCATCAGAGCAACCCTGACAAATGGTGGTGTTGGCACTTGAATTGCACTGGCTGGGTCTCAAACCTGGTCTCCTTCGTGAAAGGTGAGAATTCTATCAGTGGAGCACCACCCTCCCCAACTGTACTTTATGTTGTTGTTGTTATTGTTAAGTCTGGAGAAAGGGGCCAAAGAGAAGAATGAAGCATTCAGAATTCAAAAGCTGATGGCCTTGCCTGCTGTTGATAAGAAGAGAAAATGGCCTTGTCATGGTCTTAGCAATCACCTGTTATGCATCAGAGAGTTGGACAATGACCAAGGAGGATAGAAGGAGAATTGATGCCTTTGAGCTGTGGTGCTGGAGAAGAGTTTTGAGAATACCATGGACTGCTAGGAAAACAAATAGATTTGTCCTGGAGAGGGTTAAACTGGGTGGCTCCTTGGAGGCAAGGATTCTGAGGCTCCGTCTAACATACTTTGGACATGTTGTGAGGAGAGACCGGTCCTTGGAGAGGGACATCATGCTTGGGAGGGTGGAGGGACAGCGCAGGAGAGGAAGGCCCTCTATGAGGTGGATTGATTCAGTGACTGGGGTAATCGGGATGGGAGTGTCAGAGACAGTGCGATTGGCACAGGACAGGGTGGAGTTTAGGGCTGTTGTACATAGGGTCGCTATGAGTCGCAGGCGACTTGACGGCACATAACAACAACAACAACTGCCTGGCTGAGCTAGCAGGTGGATCGTAAATCAGAGTGGAATGTCCCTCCCTAAAGACTCTGTTATAAAAACCCTCCCCAGTAAGTTCACACTGTGACTTCCCATCCTGCCTCTCCAGAATGAGGAACTCACCCGGGAGCTCCCCTTCCCTCCCTTTAATAAAGCTGCATTGAGCTTTCTCTTCTGATTTTCTCAAGTCCGCTAACTTAACGGCTATGTGTCATCAAGTCACCTGTGACTCATACACAACAGCTCTGAACCCTGTCCTATCCTAAGTCATCTCACTGTCTTTAACACACTTACCCCCATTACCCCAGTTTCTGTGTCAATCCACCTCTTCTGGGGTCTTCTTTTCCTGTGCTATCACTCCATGCTTCCAAGCATGATGTCCTTCTCCAAGGACTAAGACAGACTTGTTTGTTCTCTTGGCAGTCTATGGTATGTTCAATACTCTTCTTCAGCACCTCAAAGGGATCAATTCTTTTCCTCTCATCCTTAGTCATTGTCCAGCTCTCTGATGCATAGCAAGTAATTGTGAAGACCATGGCCTGGGTCAGGTGTGCCCTAGTCTCTAGACTGACATTATTTCTCTTTAACACTTTGGAGAGTTCTCAACTGCACTCACAAATCCTCACATTTAAGTATACAGCACTCCTACAAGAGAGGTTTTGGTAATTTCCTTTCGCACAAGAGTCCTCTGAGGTTCAGGAAGGTTAAGAGACTGGCTTGAGGGCAGAGGGCAGAGCTGAGTGTGAAGGCAGTCTGGGATTAGTTTGAGCCCCCAGCTTTTAACCACGATGCCATCACTCAAGTCTCATTTTGTAAAAATTAAAAAAAGGAATATTGATGTAATCAACAATCAATGTAATTCATCACATCAACAAGGCAAAGAACAAGAACCATATGGTCCTATCAATTGATGCAGAAAAAGCCTTTGATAAAATCCAAC